GAGCAGGGACCCGGCCGGAGGGTTACAGCGGCACAGAGCCGCGCACGCCGGGCAGAGCACCTTCCTGGGGGGCTTTGCATCCTCACCTGGTGCAGGATAAACCCCTCGGAGGCTGCCTGCCATCCCCCCGCTGCCATGTCGCCGAAGCAGGGGTTAACGCAGCCGCAGAGGCAGCGTGGTTTGGACCGAGGAGCTGAGCAGGAGAGGATCCAGGTGGTGTTTTGTAAGATGGCTGCGCCATTAAATCCCCGGGCCTTGTACACAACCTAATTTTAAGGCTGATCTTCCCCCACCGCGCAGCTTTGGGCTCTGGATATCAGATGTGAGGGAAGAACACTGCTGCATTAGCGGTCGTTAGAGCACCCGGAGGCCCAGCTCCCCTCGCTCACCCGTTCAGGCACTGGCATCCTGCTGGGAGAAGGGAAAACGAGGCCGGCTCTTTGAATCCCACCCTGCTCTCCGCTCCTCCCGGCAGCCCTGGCCCCAGCAAACCCTTCCCATGCTGTGGCAATTGGGTTCCTCCTGCCCCCACAACCCCCCTTCCTTCCCCACAAGCAGGGCTGAAAACAGGGCTGTGAGGTTTCCCCTGGAACAGAGCAACAGGCAAGTTCATGAAGCAAATGGTCTGGGAGCTTCGGGGTCCGGCTCCTGCGCACAGCCAGACACGCCGCCTCGGGGCAGGAGAGGGGCCGGAGCTCAGTGGGGCAGGGGGAACACCAGCCCCGTTCCCGGCTGGAAGGAGGAAGGAGTCTCGACAATAAGAGATGCAGCACTTGGAGACATCCACAGAAATAAGTTTATTTCCCCTACCGTCAGGATTATGAAACCACAGAAACAGAGTTTAAGTATTTACAGAGTAATCCAGCGCCCCACAGAGATCAAGAGAACAAAGGATGAGGGTATGGAGGGCTCGCCCTCGCCGGAGAGCAACGGCAAGGCCACGGAGCACTGCGGCACAAGCACATGCAAAGGGGAAAGGAGAGAGAGCACAAAACTGGCATCTGGAGGGTGAAGGACAGGGTGATTCTCTAATGTGGCTAGTCGAAGGGGACACTGCAAAGAAGCCGGTAGTGAGACGAAGGAAGCTTCAAGGAGAGGACATTCCTTACCCACCCATCCCTTCTGCCACCTCCCACGCCAAGAGGAAGCAGCCCACTCCCCACGCAGCCGCGGGCTGCGGCGCTGCTGGGAAGCCGTGCCGAGCAGCCCTGGGGTTGCTGCTCCCACGGCCCTGGGCTGACACCACTGCAGTGTAGGAAAACCATAAATCCCACCAGCCCACCCGCCTCTGCGGGCGCTGGCCTTCACTGCGCGAGCACAGCTTTGTGTGTCCAGCACGGATGTGGGGGCTGGCCCTGCGGTACCTCAGCTTTGGGCCTTGCTCTCCCATTAGCCACATTTCCTTCGGATGCCCGGAGCCATCCTCTGTCTCTGTTGTCGGAGGCAGGTCAGCTGGCGAAGTGCTGCCTTCCTTCCCCGGCAGCCAGCACTCCAACCCGCTACGAGGCCCATTTGCTGCTCAAAACAAGTCTCCATTCGAAACCCTGATCCAGTAAAAAGCGTTAGGAGGAAACGACAAGGATTTTCACGGTGGGGAATGGCACTCAACACGTTTTCAGAAGTCCCAGGAGCGGGGACTGTAGCCAGCAGCCCTGCTCCCAGCCTCCCCAACAACTTGGAAGTCCCAGCTTTGTCAAGGCTTGTATAGCTTCTTGATAAAACACTGAATCAACGTGAGAGACAGGCCTAAGAGTCTCTAGGTTATTGCTACTGCGTAAGACAGGTTGGCTTCAGCCCTGGGGCCAGGGACTCCGAGCACATCCTTGGCAGGTCACTCCGAGAAATCATATTTAAATTAAAAACAGAGGCAAAGGACTAATCTCTCCTGTTCAGCTGGCTTGTCCTAGGGCACATTAGCGAGCCGGCTCGCTGGGTAGAGGCCGCAGCGACACAGGGTAGCTCGGTAAGACACCATCCTTTCATCATAAGGTTCTCTTTGATCAAGATCTTGGCTTTCTAATCAGCCCTGGGCCCAGCACCCTCCAGCCCGCTCTCCGGACAGGCTTGAAGTGCCTGTACAGAGCAGACACCAACGGCTATTTCGGTTCCAGGTAGACAGGGAAGGGCGCCGAGGTCTGCACACCTCCACCCACCCCAGAAAGGCCAGCACCAGATGACAGAGAGACAGCTGGATGCTGCGGAGAAGGGAGAGGTTTAAGGGGTTATTTAAAAGTGACTGAGGAAAAGGAGGAAATGCAGAAATCAAGAGGCCTGAGAGGAGTCCCCAACCCTCCCATATGGCTAGTGGAGTCGGGGAGATGGAAGCAGATGAGGAGGCACGTGGGGACAGGTCTGAGGGCCAGCAGGGTGACAGTGAATGCGCTTCCCAGCCAGAGAAAGCCACAGGGACGGCAGGCAGTGGAGAAGAGCTTTCTTGCTGGCCATGAGCACGCCTCCAGGTCAAAATCCACCAGGTAGTGGAGTAAAGAGCTGGCCTTCCAAGGCATCAGTGGAAAAGCTGTTCTTCCTCTGCAGTCAGAGGCAATCTGCTCAACTGCACATAACCCTTTTTTGTAAAAAGCCACCTGGTTTAGAGCCCCACAGAAAGCAGCACCTGCAGGCCAGAGCCTCAGCAAACACAGGCCTGGCCCTCTCAGCCTGGAAGAGGCTCTAGGTCACCTCCAAATTTACCTCCTGCCTAGCACTCAGGAACAACCTATCCCCCCACTACCCGTCCTGCCCGATCCAGGGCTCAAAAGGGCCATCAGCCCCCTCAACGCTGCCAGACCAGCTTTTCCTCACATCAAAGCCAGTTCTGCAAAGCACTTTTACCCCAAGTGTGCTCTTCAAAGCACGCCAAGGAAGTAAACAGACCTTGTTCACCATCCCGGAATCGGCCGCAAGAAAGCCAGCGCCCCAGTTTGCTGTGGCAAAGCCCAACCAGAACATGGATGCTTTCCAGTCCCTTCACCTTTTCTTTTAATCTCTGATGGCCCCACTAAGCTCAGGTCCTCAGGTGCTGCTCTCATGGATGCTTCCAAAACCCTACACCAAGCCTTCTGTAACAGAAACATGTTACCTGCTGCTGCTGCTACCTCCGCAGGCTCAGGTGTGCTGCGACACACAAAGTACTAGGGATCAAAGGAAAGTAAGTGGCTCGTGAGAAGCGTAACGACAATTTTAAATATTCAGAGCAGAAGGAGAAGCGGGGAAGCTATATTTTCTCTGGCACAAGCTAAAAGGGACTTAGCAGTAGACTCCCAACTCTGCAAGAGGCTACTGAAAGCGTGCAGACTGCCATGAGCCATATCCAAGCCAGTCGATCGACTTTCCTGCCTTTCTGGGCTCACCAGCAGGACCAGATGAATTTGCCCTGCCACAGAGCGTTCCTCTGCACGTCCCCTCAGAGGAGCGTCTTGCTGTCAACGCCTTTCCATCACTACCAGGGAGACCGTCAGCAAGTGCCGTGGCACTCTACACCCTCAGGAGGAACCCCACACCTCTGCTCTGAAACATGTGCTACAGCAGAGACATGCAAGAGGGAAACAACAACTCCTTCCTGGAGACTCAGGAAATCTGAGGAAGCATCTGATGAAGACTGCCAAGAGGAAGAAACCAGGTGATCAGAGAGAACCTTACAAGGTGTATCTGCTTGTGCTCCTGAACTAGGAGGCAGGGTTTGCCTTGTGGATTTTTACTTGGCACTCAAAGCAAAGGTGCCCACACCTCTCCTTTCCTGATTGCGTCTCTACCTACCAAACTGCAGAAAGGGAGCATATTCAGGGAGAGAGCAGGAGGCTTCAGGACTCCTGGCACTGGGAGACACCATCGACAGAACAAAAACGGAAGGAAAAGAAGCCAGTTCCAAGAAAAAAAGATGAGCTGTTACAATGGAATGGAGTTGCCATCTTCCCCGGAAAACACCTCCCAGAGTCCCATGCCTCCATCTTGCTGGGTCAGTCACAGTTTCTTCCTTCGTGGGCCCACAGCATAGGGAGTTCACAGCTGCCATCACCGCAAATGAAGCGTCAGAACAATGGTCACGATCACCCCCAAGAAGAGGACAAAGGGAAGCCAGGTCTTCACAAATCCCCCTATGCTGCAAGATGGAAAAAAGGGGGAGGGTTTAAATGTAAGAAATCAGCAAAGAAAGACAAAAGGGAAAGAAGGATGTGAGCATAACTGGAGAAATCAGAGGGAGACAGATGCCCTTCCGACTTTCTTCTCCATGGCTTGCACTGCCACACATCACATCCTGGAGATTCAGCCCGTGTTAAAAATTAAGACTAAATCAAGTCCACAAATAACTATATCATAAACAATAGGGCTGGACTCTCCTTCCAGCTTAAATTCAGGTTGAAGACTAGCATGTTTCATATCTGCACAGACAGGAGTGGTGACAGGAGACCACAAAAAATAAGACCGCTGTTACTACAGGCCTCGTTATTCAGACTGCTGGTGTGTTTAATCAAGACAGCAGGGACTACACTTGCCTAAAAGCTGGTAAAGAAGCTCTTCCAGAACAGGGAAGATCCAACAGAAGTGGAGCAACTCAAAAGCTTTGTGCAAGGCAGTCATCACAGAATCTCCTCTTCAGGCACAAGGAGCTGAAACGGAGCTTAAGTGCCCTTTCTAGTAAGGAAAGCCTGGGGTTTCCCTCTCCACTCAAGCTGGAAGCTCCACGCCAGTTGGAAATCTGACTAGTTTTAATGTAAACAAGATTCAAGAGAGGAAAAAGAAACCAGTACTCCTTGGAGATCAGCCATTCTGTGACCTTATGTTCTGACCTAACCCAGCCAAAAGGCAACACAGAGATTTGCTTCAGCTAGCATTTCCCAAATTCCTAAATTAGCTGCCAGATACAGTATTCGGGGAGCAGCATCCAGTGCAACCCAGCAAGCACCCTTGGTTCTTTTCCTAAGAACAGGAGGCAGTGACAGTACCACCTACCAGCAACATACACCCACATGCTGTGGGGGAGAGAGGTTTCTCCCTTCTCCACAGGCCAGGACGAAGCTTTAGAGGGCTAGGAGGAGCAAAAGAAACAGAGCCCCTTTGCGTCCTGAATCAAGACTGCTCCTCAACTCACCTTACATACTTCCCGTACAGGAGTGAGAAGAAGCAGAGTTTCACCATGTTCCAGGAGGTGCTGTTATCGTATCTCATCAAGTTTAAGGCCAGAGCCACGTGAGAATGGCAGTTATCACAGCAAAGGTTGTGCTGGAACAGAAAAAGGGGCACGGCCTTAGAAATCCTGTCCCTGAGGCTCGCCAGTCCTGCACCCTGTGCTGGTGCAAACCCACAAGTCCCACCCCTGCAGCAAGCACCCAAACACTGCGGAGATACTCCTCCACACACAGACAGGACATCAGCGTCGGAGCTGTACCATTCGGTGCTTGTACTCCTCCGAGGCATCGTGTACGGCTGTGTCCCAAGCATTGGGACCGCTGGAGTACACTTTGCTGGGATCCAGTTTCCAGTACCTAGAAGGATGAGAACAGATCCTTTTGCATTACTGCTGCACCTTCACAACTTCTCGCTCTTCCCAGCTGGAAGCTGCTTAAAGGACTGAGAGAAATCCATGACCTCTGGAGTCCATGGAGCCGAGCTCTTTGAGACAACACATGCTGCAGAAGGCAGCAGAAACTACTCAGCCCAACAGCACCCCAGACACGGAAACTGCAGACCTCAGGGGCACAGACAAAACTCTGAACTGCTTTCACATCCCGTGATGTGAAACCTTCAGGCCATTCAAAATGTAAATCTGATCTGACAGACACACAAAACCCAGGCACCTCTCCTCCTCCCCCCAGAAAATCATTAACAGGATGTGAGTGATGACAGTTCATTAGTACAGCACAGGCAGTATTTACTTGGAGCACTCGTAGTTAACATTATCTTAAAATGTTTTACCCTTTTCTTTTACTTTTTTTAATACAGGCTCCATACAGCTCTAGTTATTAATACCATTACATTGCTGTCACACTTCTAAAAAGATTTAATTCAACGTGGTTTCTTGAAAAGCAGAGACACAGTAGCCATCCACTTGAATTAGGGCATCTGAACAACAAGAAAAGCAATATTATAGCACGTCTGTCTCCATGAATTAAAGGATGTCTGCAGGTCAGTTGGTTAGTTTAATAAAAACTAACAAGAGCACTTACTTCACTGGCTTCCCAAATGCCATGTTGTCTTCCTACAAAAAAGAAAAAACGTCTCAAGAGGATAACCCTGCGCAATATTCATGACACGCCTCTTGCTGGAAGGCCTCACAGTCCGCGATTGCTTCGTGATAAAACTGTCACATTGCCTCAGCAGTCTCAAGACACCAATCTTATTTGTGTGTCTGCATTTAGATTTCAGTTGTTTTCATACTCCTGTTCTGGGCATGAGTATATTTATCCTCTATACACAGCGACATCATCTAGCTACGTGGTATACATACCTTGTTCCTCATTTTTGGGTTGGTTTCCCCCCCCCGCACTGTTAATACCTTGTTAATTCAAAGTTGTAAATGTCCAAATCTATTAAGATTATCTTATCCCAACTTAAAACTCCCTTACTTTCAAAATCCATCAGACTACAAAGCAGTTTAGAAGACTAGCACATACCTGATGCTAAGCAGCATGATAGTAACAGGCATGCTGAGGAAGTTGGAAGGCAGCTTCTGTTACTCAGAATTAAGAGAATTTAGGTGCAAAATTCCCAATTAAGAGCCTGGACTACAAGATTTTTTTCCCTTCCACTCACCAAACCAAAAGAGCCACTATCTATCATATCCTCCAGATGATCGCCCCTGGGCAGCAGCCCACAGCGTAATAGCAAAGGACCATGATCTTCAGAAACATCTAAAGCCATTACTTTGCAGAACTTTGAGCTGCAAAAGGCAGGGGCTGGCTCAAAAGCCACCAACGAAGGTGAGAAACAGACCAAGCACAGATTGTGCTTAAGCACCCGGATCCATCGTCTACTTACTGAGACAAAGTACGGCCCGGCAAAGTCCCGAATGACTCCAGTCGATGTGCAGATACCCATGTGGCCGATGATCGGGAAGAGCCATCTACCGAGGCAACAAGTGAACCGTCAGGCTGAGATATTTGCCCCCCGATCATCCCGAGTGCGTGCGACATGCTGCCAGGAGACTGCTGGAGCGGCCGTACAACCAACTGCATGGCATGGGATAGACAGGCACAGTTAATGTGTTATACGCAGCTGAGAGATGAAGGCAGGTGAGCCAAAGCCAGGCAAAGATGCAAAAAGAGGTACAAGCAAAAGAAAAACACACAGGGAATACCCAAAGCTATGCTGACAAGCAGGTCTAGAGTCAGCTCGTCTGTGAGGCAGTCAGGCTCCATGATTTTATTGTGCGTGGCAGCAGTTACAGAGAGTGCAAGACTCCAAAGGCCTGCACTACACACGTCCCCGGCCAGGGAAGGGTGAGCCCCAGTCTCCCAGAATGACCCAGGTAAAAAGGTTACATCCAGGAGAAACTGCCTTGAGATAAAACCGGACTTTCCACCCCAACAACTGAAAATAAGGCCATCCTGTCCATCTTCCCATCCATACTGCAGCTTTTCATGGCAGATTAGATTTAAGCACCCCACAGGGCTCCTGGCTCCAGGAAGAGCATTCCTTCCCCTAAATGATCCCAATCCTTCAAAGACCTTCTCCTCCCTGCTGGATATTTACGGTCCCAAGGAGTAGCAGATCTATATCCCAACCCCCTTCCATCATCATCGCTTAGAAGTAAATACTTCAGGCCAAGTTACAGCTCGCTCTCACATCCTCCGGTGTTCTCAGGTTTGCTGACCTCTCTCTGATTTCTCACTCCTCTCTCCCTGAGGGACTGCACGCAGTGACTAATATTTCAGAAGAGATTACAGCAACGCTCAACAGCAACAGAGTCACAAACCATGGCTCCATTAGAGAGATCCTAAAACTATCAAAATAAAAAGGGACTGAGGTGGTTGGATGTTACGAGGAACGACAAGCCATACACGCCAATAAGCACAGCTGAGGTTATAAATAGCATATAGCTCCTGTTGATAATGTAACCCTATGACGCAGAGAAAGGACTCTGCGAAGCTTGATGTTCTGAGCTTGCATCACTTACCCTCTGCACGTTCCTACCTGGTGTGATGACAAACAGCCAGACAGTTTCGCTACCTGTGCAATGTTCTATCAGCCAGAAGGTGCAGCTGAATATAACGCTGTTACAGCATTGCCACCTTCAAAGGTCTAGACACTTCCTCCTTTTTTTTAAATTCTCCTCTCGGCACTGGCTAGCTCTCAAGCCCCCACATCCAAGGATGACAGGAAACGTCAAAGGGAGAAAATGGAGCGATTACGGAATCTAACAAGAGATTTTGCCAAATAACAACACTGAAATTTCTGCTGCAAAACCAAATCAACAGGAAGATGCCACTATCCATCAGGGAATGAACCCACAAACAAATACAGATGCCCAGTGACTTTGGCAGCAGGACAGCTCTCTTCATCAGTCCCAACGGGAGATAAGAAGATTAAAAGCTTTGCAAAATCCTCCAGGAAAAGACTAAAGTGGAAATTTTAAGCAAACAAAAAGGAAAAGAGGTAAAAACCAAAGCTGGTTGGTAGCTGTACGTGAGACAGCAATAGGAAAGTTGCAGCGTCTCCTTGCTGAGGAGAGTTACGGTGCCACTCCCAATCCTGGCATGGACCACGCCACGTCTTCTACCTGACTTTCAGCTCTGGCTCAGTAAACATTATCACCTGATTTGAACCAGAAGGGAAGAGGAAAGCACAAAAATAAGCCTTTGTGCTCCCAGACTACCCCCAAAGCCACATTTTACAGCTTTTCATTTTCCCACGATCAGGGGAAAACTCAGAAGTTCTCCTTGGAGCCTGCTTACGCTTGGCTGACAAGACTAGGAAAGCAAATCGACTTCTAACTCATTAAAAGCGAAGTGCAGAGGCTCTCCTCAAGGCATAAGGTGGTCCAAGATCCCCGTAAGGAAACCTTTGCTCCAAAAACATGAAATACTTCCCACATTTCACTGGATCCTCTCCGCTCCCGCTCCTGTAGAGACAAGCTCACTCACCGCAAAGCCTTCCCCACACACGCCCTTGCTGCAGGGAGAGGAGAGCCCTACCCCAAAGACAGAATCCTACAGGGGCCCTGAAGCAGTCTGGCACGCCGTCACCCCAAAGCAGACCGAGCACCCCCAAAGAGGCCAGGCAGCCAGTTACCCTGGTCTGCCCGCCCCAAAGCAGTCCGGGCTCCCTGCCAGCTCCGCAGCTGGCTGAGCACCCAGGCACCTCGAATCGGGCCGGGCAGCCGGACCCCGGAGAGGCGAGGGGTGCCCCGGCCCAGGCCCTTCCCCGGCAGCGAG